TACCCACTCCCCCGGATATCTGAACTTCTTGATCGCCTCCGTGGAGCCAAATATTTCACCAAGATCGACCTCCGCAGTGGTTTCCACCAGATCCGCATTCACGAAGAAGATACACATAAGATCCTTTCGCTCTCGCTTCGGGCACTACGAGTTCCTGTCTCTTATACACATCTAGATGTGTATAAGAGACAGCCCCCCGTCCCACCTATTCCTAAGTCACCTCCGGGGCTTACCCCGCAATGCCACAACTTCCCCCCAACTACCTCCTTTGATGACAACAGCCAATTCGATTACACCTGCTACGACACTACCCCCGATAACCTCAACTTCAACACCCTCACCCGAATCGTTTCCCGCGAAGGGGAAATCCCCCGTTCCTTCTGATCCGCCGACATCATGCCCTTGTCCGGCCTTCCCCACGAGGACGTTTTCCTCTTCCTTACTCAGCTCCAAAACTCTTTCAAGCTCCACCACATGCCCCTTGTCCAATGGCTTCCCATTGCCACCTCCCGCCTTCTCGGCAACACCGCCAAATGGTGGATGGCCGAAGTCAGCAACCGCCGCGCCTCCGGTGGACCGTGTCACTCCTTCCTCCAATGGGCCAACCTTCTCACTGCCACCTTCCGCTCCTAGAAAACCATCGATGACTACCTCGAACAAGTTTTTCACCTCCGCCAGACCGGTCCCACGAACCGCTTCGTCCAATACATCCGCTCCCTCCGCCACCACCTCCCCACCACCGCCATTCCCGACTTTGCATTCATCTCCCGCATCAAGCGAGTATGCCACAAAGATCTTGCAACCGCCCTCGCCCACGAACCCGACATACCCCTTGCTGACCTCCTCTCTCGCATGCTTCACCACGATCGACTCCTCCACCCCCATCACCGGTATGCGCCCGCTCCCTCCCCCCCCCACTTCTTCCATAACATCACCCCTGACGACACCACTCCACCCACCTCCGATGACGACTTCGACACTGCCTCGCTCGACCCCGCCCAATTCACCATTGAGGACCTCCAGGCCGCCCACCTGTCTCTTATACACATCTAGATGTGTATAAGAGACAGGCACAACCCTAACCAGGGATCTTTTTTTCTTTCG